TGAAATCCGTGTCGCCTACAGCAAAGATTTGGTTCACTATAAATTTTTATGCACCAGTGACGGTCGTAGAAACTTTTTTTGGATTTTTCGGAGGGCGGGGCGCACCCCCTTAGGCCGAAAGTGGGCGGGGCTGGGGCCGAACCAGAGAAAAACTGTTTGTAAAATTAGTTTTTGGAAAGAAATTTAAAAGAAAACCGATAATTTCAAGCAATAACAAAAATCGTTTTAAAAAAACTGACGCCTTTCTCAATTTTTCCCTGGCATCTAGGTCACTTTCAAAAATTTCCGAAAAATTTTCGAACCCATTCTTGGGGGTGGGGGCTCGGCACTGATGCGCATCCTTCAAAACGTTTTTTTCTCACATTACGGAATCCTAAATAGACTAAGGTTCAAAAAATCAAAAATACCATTACTGGTAGAAAAAAACCCTTCAGGAAGGTTGTTGTAGGCAAAAAATCGATTCGCGGACGAGTTATCCGCGTGTCAACATGTACGTCGCACATCTCTGATTGGTGGATTTGGATTCTTAGTTTCGTGTGATTATTTGCAGGTAATTTCGAAGAGGGAAAGAGGGCGCTCCGAGGCTTATGCTGCGCTCCAGCTGATTCAGCTACTACCGTAATCCCTTAAAGGCAGCACCCATGCTCGGAACGCCTTCTGTGTTCTCGACAGATTCTGAAAGATGAACTCAAAAAATGGTTGAGGTTCAAATTACTCGCCTCAAAAGTCACTATTGACCAAGAAAATCGCTACAAAAACTCGTCCTTAATTTCGCGGACGAGTTTTCTATTTGGCCGTGCGCCTTCCATTGGAGTTGTCTGACCATCTCAAGCTCGAGAAGATGGAAGAGACTTTCAGTTCTACTCATATCCATGGCTTATAGCGCTCTAACTATCGTGGAAAGGTAGTTGGACAACTCGTCCGTGAGGTCGAGGACGAGTCTTCTGGAGCCGTTTTCTCGGTCAGGAATGATTCTGAGCCGAGAAATTTGAACCCCAACCCATTTTTCGAGCTCCTCTTCTGGATTCCGTCGAGAACTCAAGAAGTGTTCCGAGCGTGGGTGCTGCTAATCCCTGAAAGAAGCTGAAACTCTAAGGGATAACGGAAGATTTAGCTTCGAAATCGCACCTAGTTCTTCTTTTTTCGAATTTTTATCAAAATAAGCGCAATATTAAGCTATTCTAAGATGTTTTAGGAGATTATCATCCGATATTTATGTATATAGCGACGTTGACATCACTATTTGGGAAAATTCTCTTTTAGAAAGAACTTTCATCAATTCCCTTTATCCCCAGATGTTGAAAACGGTTTTTTTTTCAATTTTTAAAATAAGAGGACTTAATAGAGCCGTTAATATTCCGAGTGAATATAGGAAATTAATTTAACGACGGATAACTAAGCTGAAAAGCAGGATGAAAAATAGCAACGATAAAAGACCCTAGGAACAAGCATCTGCGACGAAGTAGATCATAAAATAAATTAGCGAGAAAAGTCCCATACTAAAATAGAAAAGTGGGATTAGTAACTGAGAAAATGCACGCTAATTAGCAGTTCCCGAGATAATTTCACGCCTCCGCACATCAATGAACGCTAATCTTAAATAACTGCAAGCTAAGGATAGACACACTTATAACAGGCTTCTAAAGGTCCAGGCCTACCCCCATAGACATCCGGGAGCGAATGGATGAAACCACGTCCTCAGGCGCATCGTAGTCTAAACTGAGATCGGAACACTTCCCGGAAAATTATGCTCAATTTTTCTACCGCTTGCGCACTTCCTCCTA